ATATATATATATATATATATATATATATATATATATATATATATATATATATATATATATATATATATATATACATATAGATACATATATTTGTATTAAATACAGCGTCAACAAGCATCCGTATTCTGTTTGAAAGTCAGAGCTGTGTTAATGGTACCAAATTAATCGTAAATTTCGAGAATGTGCGCTTACAGGCGGAACCATTAACGTCACACACGGTGAACTTGAACGATATCGTTATAACTTCTCGACTCGTCGACTAGGTCGACGGCGAGGAGCACGATTTGCTTCGCCTAAGTTCTACCTTTTATCTTAAGTGTCTTATTGCCGTGAAAAATTTTGTTAAAAAAACAAAGAGAAATATACATTATTTGTGTAATGAAGTGTTACAGCGAGTGATTTTGCATTTCGATACGACTATTCGCAGGTTCCCGCCGAACTGTATGCCGAAAGCTAACGTGGCGTCAAGTTGTGACAACTACTTTTAATAAAATAAATAAGATGAAGAGACTTACGACTATTATAATAATAATAATAATAAAAGTAATAATGAAACATGCAACGATTATGAGCACAAAACTGATGAAAGTTTACTGGAGCTACTATTAATCCTTATCCAGACGAGCCCTTTTTTCTCTGTCTCTTGTCGATTGAAAGAATGAATGATTTCCGTAGAAATGACATTGATGATATAATGGAAAACCTGTGACGAGTGCAAGTGTTTCTGAGATGTATCAGAGAATCATGAGCAAAATAAATAAACGCAACAGTTTTGTTTACGAAAGTAAAATCACTCGAATGTTAATTTTGTCGGATAAGAATCGGCGGTACTTGTAAGCGTGCGTGTAGATAATTCTTATCGCTGACAAGACGGAAACGTCTGTGAGACACTTGATGCCCGGAAGATATCCGAGAGCATTCCCTAAACCGATAGCAAGCCGTGCAAGTCCTAACATTCGAATTAACTGTGTTTGTCACTCAATTGGCACACAACAATAACCCTGTCCTATCATGCAAAATATTAGGTTGGTGCAAGAACGTTTGTCATTTTTCTGTTAAATTGTCGTGGAAGAGATTTTATTGTATTTTGTAGGAGAAATGGAAAGTTCTCATTTGATGTCTGAAAAAATATCGAATCAATGTTGTTAATTTTATATTCGTAAAAATGACGAATTCTTCGAAACTGGACGATTTCGTTTTCTATCCACTTGATGATCCAGATACGATGAGCCTTCTGTGCCAACCTAATAGAAGAGAGTCGGAACAGGCAACAACACACTGTTGGACGCCGCGAGCTCGACATGGCTGCTCTAGTGTCTTGTAGGGCGATTCACTAGATGTATGTAAAGTCACCAGAGCGGCGCGGCGTCGACGACAGGTGTCTCGGGTCCTGCCATACAGGTGTTCAGTCGGCCAGTGGTGGTCAGAGCGGCGCGCATTCGTGCGTGCGTGCGTGCATGCTTGCGTGCGTGCGGGCGTGCGTGCGTGCATGCGTGCATGCGTGCATGCGTGCTCCATTTCGTTCTGTGGCATCCGCGACGGGCGCGCGAACGAGGAAATCTCCTCTCTTTCGCGAGTGTTTGTTCTACGTTCCGCGGGAAAGAAACGTATTTTTTCTATCCACAAGAGGGAGAGAGAAAGAGAGAGTTACGAGTAGCGTGCCGAGTGACGAGAAGCGCGACGCGTATGCTCGTCGGAGCTCTGAATAATGACTCGGCCGAGGCGCAAAGTCATCGACTCGGGAATACCGAGAAGGGAGAGGTGAGAGATCTCTCTCTCTCTCTTTCTCTCTCTTCCGCTCGCTCTCTCATTCGTTTTTATTCCCTCCCTGTGTTTCTCTCTTTCTCTCTCTAAGACTGTTCCGTCGCTTTCGGACAAAAGTTGAATTTTCACACGCGCGAACGATCCACGGTGATCCACACGCAGGCAGGACCGATCGGAACATGAATTCGTAGTGGTGTATAGTGGGATATTATGCTAATTGGCTTTACGGTCAGGATGCGGGAGGAAGAGCTCGAGATATCACTCAAGGTAATCGCGTGACTGCAGAGGCTCGCCGCTTCTTTTTCGCTCGCTTACTCTCCGTATACTTGGTCGCCGTATCTTTCACTTTTCTCTTCCGTTCCGGCTCTCCTGCCTACCGACTGTTGCGCGTACACGCCTGTTTTATTCCAAGTTCGACTCGCGGCGTGGTCCCGCGAAAAAGGAACGGATCTTCCACGTCTAGCTGATTTGCTGCTTTTTTTGTCATTCACGCTTCAGCCGCTTCGCGTATGCTCTCGTCTCTCGTCGCGCGCCGCGATTTTCCGGCGAGCAGCAAAAAGGGGGAAAAAAGCGGCGACTGCGGCTCCTTCCTCGCATCCTCGTTCGTGCGCCGCGTGATGATATTCCGCAGCGAGACCGATTCCGACCGCCGTGTTTTTCGCCCGTTTCCTCTCAGCCGGGGCCGCTCCACAAGACGCTGATTTCTCGCTGAAACAATTGTTTTCGTTGAAACAGAAAGCAGAAATTGTTCACGAGCATCTCGATCTCTGCTCCGGCGAATTCTCACTCGCGAACTCGTGCACGAAACTCGTCCCAAAATTCATTCGCGCATATTCAGGCGTCATTTGCGCGACATTTATCTTCGACTTTATTCATCTGTCTGAAATATTGACTCGCAAATTTGCTGATTCCATCGCGATATTTATATGCAAATCCACTCACGCACGACCGGCGAGTACGTTCACTCGTAAATTCTCTCCGTTTGACTGTGACACGCGGGATATGTCATCGGTGTTAGCGAGACCGAGCATAGAATGATGTTCGATATTAATCTCGATGATATTCAGCACGACGATCCCACGGCCGTTGGACCGTCCCGACGAGTTTCACGTGCGATCAACGCGCCGAGGCGCCTGCAAACCCGGTGTGATCGACCGGAGCCGCGGAAATTCCTATGTCGCGCGCACCGAAAAACCATGTGCGATCACTATATGGAATCACTATATGGAATCGCGTAGGAACAATAAGTAAAACGAGGCGAGGAAGTCGCAGGCAGCGGAGACACGGGTCTTCGATGCGCGCGAGAGCTCGGTGCTGCTCCAGTGATCTCTGCTTATCTCGCGATTGTCATAACGGTACCTACTCGCATTTTCATCGCATATGCTCCTTCTCTATCGCTGGACCAGGCGCTCGTGTCCTTTTTTGTTATTTATGCAGGGTGTGCCGGAACCGCCGGCCACGCTTCCTTCTAGCCGCGCTCTCGTCGGCCGAGATTTCCCATTTATTTTATTTGGAGTTGACACGTTCTCCTCCACCAGAAGAGCGGATATTGGACCGCCGAACAGTGGGCGATTTGACTACCTTTCGGAGCAAAAATCTGTTCCGCCACAATTTTTTACCAATCGTAATGATTATTTTTGCAAATTATTCGTTAGACTTTCAGTTCTAATAACTACTTGCTACAAATTACGGAAATGCTGTTATTTCTTTGTAATCTTACAATAGAAGATGAAAAAACGCCAAAGAAGTATGAAAAATTGAGAAAACTTTGTTGTACAAAGTCAATCGTCATAGAACATGATGTATAATATAGTATGAGATATAATATGAGGTAAAATATAAAGAAATAAAAAATGAAATCGAGTGGCTACAAAATCCTAAACCTTTAAACCTTAAGTCCTTGAACCTTTCAATCTTAAGCACTAAATCCTAAAACCCGAAACTTTGAAACTAAATTCTAGGTCCTTAAACCTAAAGTTTATGTAGCCACTCGATTTCATTTATATTTCTTTACATTTTACTTTATACTGTATCTACGTCAAGTTCTATGACGATTGGCTTTGTACAACAAAGTTTTTCCAATTTCTCATACTTTTTTGGCGTTTTTTCATGTTCTATTGTAAGACCATAAGAAAATAACAGCGTTTCCGCAATTTGTAGCAAGTAGCCGTTAGAACTGAAAGTTCAACGAGTAATTTGCAAAAAGAATCATTACGATTGATAAAATATTGTGACGGAACAGACTTTTGCCCCGAAAGGAGTCAAATCGCCCACTGTGCGCCATGTCGCGTCGCACCTAAAATATTTTCACTATTATGCATTTTTGAATAATTGAAAACGGTATTAATAGTCGCTGCTCGTAACTTCGTCTCACGCGAGATGCACGAATCTGAATTTACAGTTTGAATCCGACTTTGAATCAGAATTAGTTTCTGGTTCTTTCTTTATTGATTAAGGCTCGTGTTAATAATTGTTATCTGAAACTTGTCTTATATGAGAGACTTTTATTTGGAATTAGAATCGAAGTTCTTCAGTTGAATTACGATATACAAAATTTTCTCTGAACTTGAGTTTCCGACCGTGTACAAGTACACTGAAAGAAAAATTACATTAAAATCAACAAATATTTCCTTGATCGGTGCCATTAACATATTTACTTAAATCTACATTCTCTTTATTTAAATCAAATATTGTTTATTTAAATCAGGTAAACAATATTTGATTTAAATAAAGAGAATATAAATTTAAGTAAATATGTTAATGGCACCCATCAAGGAAATATTTGTTGATTTTAATATAATTTTTCTCTCAGTGTAGATTAGATCAATCTGAAGGCAAAAGTTCTCTACAGTTTCGCGAACAATCACGTGAAATTTTGAGTTATTAATTAAAAAAGATTGATGAACGATCGTGGGCTGTACGGTAGACGCTGACTATACTGTGTCGTGCGCTTGTAGACTTGATGGAACAAAAAAGTCCTGTGCTATTTTGCAAATAACGCGTAAATTTTTTAGTTACTAATTAAAGTAGTAAGATAGAAAAAATGTAAGCCAAGTCCCTTTCTGGCATTGTAAACTGAAGTAAATAAATTATACATATAATTACTAATTAAAGAGGAATATAACGAATAATTGCACGCGATCATCCGTCAATCTTCCTTAATTAAGTCCTAAGCCCTTATGCTTTAAAGAAGTTACATCGGTTCTAAATCCTAAGCTTTAAAATGGAGTTAGTCAACTCACTTAAGGATTAGAAATAGTACGAAAAAAGCTTAAAGCTAGAAATACATAAAAATTTAGAACATAAGGCTCAGGGCTTAAAATATCTATTGTAGAATGGGATTTGTAATCGCGATTTGACTTGAAAACTCACAGCTACATTAAAATTGCTTAAATTAATTAATATTGCGTCTAAGCGTCTAAGCGTCTAAGTGCGAAAACTCAAGTATCTCACACTTGAAACAAGTTTCGAGCAACGATTATCGAGATGCGGAGTCCAAGTCCTCGTTTGAAATTCAGATCAATTCCAGCTGAAATCGACGAGCGACGAGCAGTCGCTTCGGTACACATTTCATAGCCCCGAGCTCGCAAAAAGTCGTCTGCTTTCGACCGCTAATTGCTAGAAAGCCATCGCCATCCGTTGATTTCGAATTAGCCAAGGCACGTGTACGCGTTGGAAAGGCATCTCGGTGGTCTCCGAACACCCTACCCTCCTCTCACCGTAGTAAGCTGAAAACCAGTCAAACGCGAAGCGTAGAAATATACGAGATTCCTTCCCCGGATGGATAAATCATGATGAAGATGTATGCGCGAAAAACTCCGACGGCATTAAATCGATATTAATTTCGTCGCACTGGCGCACACAGTATACGAGTGCTTCAACATTGGCCGATTCCATATAGACATAACGAGCATTCCAACGAGATTCCTCCGAACGATGAATTACGCATGTGTTAATGTAAATTCTAAAAACCGCATCCACAGAAACGAGACTGCCCTCGACGACCGGTTTTTTCCTTTCGTGGACTTACATTGAGTTCTTTCCACGTTTTACCGGTGTATAACCCACTTCCTGCCCCGCCCGACACACCGTCGCTCATATTCGGTGAAATTATTCGGGCCTTGATCGATCATTCGTCGCCGTGGATCTGTAAGGGAGAAACGGGTTTTCTCGAGAATATTTGCCGTGAAATCTGAGGGATTCTTAGGCCCGTATTAACATTCGTTATTTGAAACTTGTCTCGCGTGAGATACTCAAATTGTAACTTAGAGCTGGATCTGAGTTTCTCAATTCAATCACCAAATGCGATACACGTGACATTATACTTGTAAGTCATGATTCAGTCGAAAAACTCACATGCGAATCTAAATTTAAATTTGGCTATCTCATCTGAGGCAAATTTCAAGTAATGACTATTATATACAGACTTTAATCTCTGCTGGAGATGCCAATGGAAGACTTGTCCTATTGGCGCAATTCTCTCTAACTAATTCGCAGTTTGACGAAAAAAATCAATTAGTCGAGAACAATTATTTTATTATACGGAATATATTATTGATTGAATTGCGGAATTATTAAAATTAATTTATTTTTAATAGGTTTACTTTTTACTTAGAGCTTGTTAGCTATTTAGCCCTGTATTAATAGTCACCGGGAAAAAAAAGTTCAGACAAAAGCCAGATATGGATTTTATCAAGATTTGATCAAACATAATTAGATATAACGTTATATATGATTCAGATCGGTCCACATATAATAATAATAATAATATATAATAATATATAATAATATATAATTATATGTACAATTATATATAATTATATATGGATAGATCTGAATCATATATAACGTCATATCTGATTATATCTGGTAAAATCTTGACAAAATCCATATCTGGTTTTTATCTGAACTTTTTTTCCCGGGCCGTTACTTGGAATTTATTTCACACACACACACACACACACACATATGTGAGATACTCAGATCTTCATTAAGAATTATCTCAAAGTTTTTCAGTTGAATTATACGATCTAGGTCCGTATTAGTAGTCATTACTTAAAAGTCGTTCCACGTGAGATGCTTAGAAGTGAATTTAGAGTTACACTTGAGTTTTTTCCTTAAATTACACAATACATGCAACATTACATTTCTAATCGCGATTCAGCCGAAATATTTCCATTTAACTCTAAATTCAAATCTATGTATCTCATTTGAGGAAAGTTTCAAGCAACGATTATTAATACGAGCCCTAGTGACGTTATATCTGCAATCGTGATTCAACTGAAAGCTCTCATCTGACTCAAATCCGAGTCTCATTTGAGAAGAATTTCAAGTAACGGCTATTAATATGAACCTTAGATACTTATTATTTACTTGGAACTTCGAGTTATTTATACACAGGCTGCAGTAACGCTTATATTTCGATTAGTGACGCTCTTCTCCTGATTGCCTTCCTAATGAACGGTACATCTGACACGCGATTTAACATTTCTTAGGTGGTGATAGTAGGCAACGGCGCCGTGGGGAAGTCGTCGATGATCCAAAGATTCTGCAAAGGCACATACACGAGGGATTACAAGAAGACGATCGGCGTCGACTTCCTGGAGCGTGAGATCGAGTGAGTAAATTGCCGGTAATATCGAGGTGCTGCGCCGAGCGCGCACAATCGTATCGATCGAAAATTACTATTCAATGCCGAGCACGTTATTCGCGAACAATGGGCTAAATACGTAGAATTTCGTGATAATATTAATTAAATATTAATCAATCATCCATTATTGATTTGTCCATTATTGGCCCATTCTCACCGTAAATTCCACGAATATTTTCACACTGAAAAAGCGACGCGAATCGCTTCAGTCATTATACGCCAAACTGATTATTAATATCATTAATTAGACGTTAATTAGTCACTCATCATTTCCTCGTCGTAGGCTCGCTCGTTCCTGCCATAAATTCTCCGAATATTTTCCGCTGAAATGGCTGACCGATCGGCACGAGTTAAATCGCCTTGTTTATTACACACCGAGCTGATTATTCGCCGCTGATCATCATACCGCTATGTGCATGTACATGAGCTCGAACGGCGGTGCCTGAGAAAAAGCCGATTTAATCATACCGTGGGATACTTCTCGTACCCCCACCGAACCTGCACTCCGGCAGCGAAGTGTAATGTCGGTCAATATAAAAAAGGGAGATTTCGTTTCGTTGCACGCTACGCGCTTCGACATCCATCACTCACTTCATTCGTGCACCTGGAAGTCACGTAATTTGCGGGCAGTGTCCCAATTAAAATCCAGACTAGCGAGAAACCTGAAATCAATCGCCATTAAAATTAGAGGACTCATGTGTGAAAGTGGAAAGAGACAATCGATCCTTAAGCTCTACAATATGGAGGGAATTTGTAGTAGAAATTGCTATAAAATTTTGTGCAATATAAACTCTACTGACGATTTATTCCTGTATACTATTAAGGCTCCTGGCTGCTCACATTGTCTATTTCTTTTTAATGATGTCAGAAGCGAGAAAATGCATGCTAAAAATTTTCGCGAAATACGTTAAAATAAAAATATATATCTATAAAGTAACACTTGCAATCGATTAAACAAATTTGTAAGATATTCCGTGCACTCCCCTTTTGCTCTAACAATCCAACATTTGTCGTAAATTAACGTGACAATTCATCTTCTTAACCTATTTCTTCGCCTATTTCTATTCAGATTAATTTACAATTATTGATTGTTAGAGCAAAAGGGGAGTGCACGAAATATCTTACAAATTTGTTTAATCGATTCCAATTGTTATTTTATGGATATATATTTTTATTTCAATGTATTTCGCAAAAATTTTTAACACGCATTTTCTTGCTTCTGACGTCATTAAAAAAGAGATAGATAATGCGAGGCCAAGAGCCTTAAGAAAAAAACATAAATTATATATATTAAATATATTATTATATACTATATTATTATATTATATTATTTTATACATGTAAAACTTGTATACTATATAATATAATAAAATAATATTCTAGTTCTATTATTGAAATATAACATTTCCTTCTTTGTACACTCTCGATGGATGAGACATAGTCAGGAAGACGTGATGAATGAATGAGTGAATATGAGAAAATATAAATCATCCGATTAATACATTACATATATCGTGCCAACAGAGTCGACGGCGAGGATGTAAGACTGATGCTGTGGGACACAGCGGGACAGGAGGAATTCGATGCTATTACAGCGGCTTATTATCGCGGCGCTCACGCCTGCGTCCTCGCTTATTCGGCCACCGATAGAGATTCTTTCGACGCGATTCCGACGTGGAAACTCAAGGTATACAAGTCACCTCACTATTCGAGAGTCCATTCACCTCTCGAATAAAGAGCTCATCATAGATGATATAGTGTAAAACATAAATTAAATTAGTTTTACACTGTTACATAAAAAACGATACAAGATGTTCTGTGGCAGAATAGTTCCATAAATAAACGATGTTGGCATGTTATGATTTCGTCACGTATTCCTCCTGTATGAAGATTTCTCTGCTTCTTGTAGGTGGAGAACGAGTGCGGAGAGATTCCCACGGTACTGGTGCAAAATAAGATCGACCTTGTCGACCAATGCGTGATCGATCCGTGAGTTTCTCTTTTCTTCTTTTCTTTCGTTAATTCTACCTTCGAATTCGCTAAACAAGACCCTCGATATATCGTAGGGACGAGGCCGAAAGGCTCGGCCGTGCTTTAGGCTGCAAACTCCTGCGGACGTCCGTGAAGGAGGACATTGGCGTGATGAGTGTCTTCCGACACTTAGCGTCGCGATGTCTGCACGAGATGCGCCGCTCTGACGACGATTATCAGGACGACCTGCGACTGTACTCCTCGGAGCCTAGGTCCCCTGCAGTCATCAGTGAGTGGATTCTAATTCTCCTCGCGTTGTTCTATCGCTAGAAGTGCATTCGCTCGCCGAACGATGTTTCTAAACAAAAGAAAAAAAGACATTATCAGATGCGAAATCGAGAAGGGAATCTTGCTCTTGTCATTACTTGAAACTTGTTTGAGTGAGATACCTTGATTTGAATTGTGTTAACAGTTGGAGTTACTTGGAATTGTCTCCAGTGAGAATCACTCAGAGTTAGAGTTGAATTTAGAGTTAGAGAAAAATTTTCCAGTGGAATGCAATTGTAGATATAAATGTAGCATATATTATAATTCAACTGAAAAACTTGAATCTAATTCTGAATGAAAATCTGAATATCACATGAAACAAGTTTCAGGTGCGTGATGACTATTATATATATAATACGAATCTTAAACTTAGATACAAATTTCATATCGCGATTACATTATTATTTCACGTGAGACAAATTTCTAATAACGACTATTTAATATGGAACTTAATAAAACTATTGGATCCTCACTCAATCTTTACAGTCGCTTTCTGATTACGATCGACCCACCTCCTCTCAATAAATAATGTCTCCACTGTCTTGTCGCAGGTGCGTTTAATCCGGACGGCTCGATGTGCGGCCGCAACGCCGGCAATGGCACGATAATTTTGCGACCGGGCGGCAAGACGAAGAGCCATAAGAAGCGGAACTTCGTGAAGAACGCCTGTAGACTCTTGTAGCGATTTCTCTCGCGTAACGTTACGCACGATAACGTTACACGTCGTTATGTGCGAGGGGCTCGCGCGTGTTGGTGGTGTAATACGGTGTCTCGTACGCGTGATAGTTGTAAATATACATTGGTTTATTTCGTATGCGTAAGAACGATGATTTTACAGTGCCCAACTAAAGTGCGAGCTGGTCGAGTTTCCAGAATGGAACGGCTAGGACGGTCACGTAAGAGCGCGTAGTGCTACATCGTTTAACATCGGGGACTCGTTAATTTATACGCAATAGAGTTAATATACTCGTAATATTAACCAAATGGTTTGTAGATGATAAGCTAATCCACGAGAGAGATTAACATCGCATGTTAACTATGTGATCGTTCATACTCACGTCTGTGAACGGAAACAGTTGGCAGAGAGTGCGGTTTGACGCGCAGTTTTGTAAATACTTCGCTGTGTCGATTACTGAATTGCCGTTTTCTCTCTTAATTTTCTTAGAAAAATACGTTCTCTTTTTTGTTTTCAACGCTCCCGTCACACATTACAGAATTAGTTGTACGGTATGGATTGTAACGCTAGCATTAACAGTACAACAATAATGACGATCATACACTAATAATTATAATATAATAACAGTTATTCACAAAGCAACATGTCGAGATCGATCAAGCTCCCTCATTGTATGATCGTGACGAGAGGAAAGTGTCAACGCGACTTTAAGCGTGAAGATTCAAGCCGAAATCGAGTGAAATGGAAGTGCATCCCGAACACATGTAAGTTAGCAGTACAAATCACGATTTTGGCGCAAAACGTTATTACAGCAGATGACTTAAAGTCTATCGTATGTCGTATTTTTATTGTATCATTACAGAACACAATGATTCTTTGTACATTTTGCTAGAAACAAAATAAATCTCTGACACTAAGGCGTTCTCGAGAAAAACGCGTAGGCTTTCAGAAATGTAACTAATAAGTACATTACGGCGCAAACGAAAGAAGAGAATGAAAGCGAGGAAGACTCGAAAACATATGAGCGTCGGCGAGAAATCGCAAAATTTCTAAAATATATATTTCTTTCGAAATTGATTTTTGATCATAAAAAAATGACTGATCATAAAATCATTGCTTTCCGGCACACTCCAAACACATATCAACTGATTAATACTAATTGGTTAAAAATAACCACGCAAAGAGTGTAAAAAGGTTCTTTTTGGTGTTCGCTCTATACAGAATGTTGTATTATACAGGATGTCTGACACGAAACATGCAATACCACATGTGAAAGTAGAACACATTAACTTGAGCACGAAAGTCTCTGGCAGTTTGCAAACACGTGAAATTTCAAAATAATGAGAAAAAATTTACATATTTTAGAGCGCGCCAATCTTCTTTTTTACTCAAAATTTCACGTGGTTGTTTGCAAACTGCCAGGTTTTCGTGCTCAAGGCACTACCAGGTGAACGTGCTCTACCCACACATGTGATATCGTGTGTCTTGCGTCAGACACTCTATAACATAAGAGACTCTACATTTTCCCCGTATGTACATGACTTCGAAAAACTTCGTTTTATTTTAAAATATACAACGCATTGGAAAATTGCCGTCAATGTTAGACATCCCTTTGTCGATTAAAGGTAGACCTCTTTGCTGAAGTGCCGAGACGCTAAGTGTGTCTTAAGATGACCGTTTCTAAATATTCAGTTAAGAAGTAGGCAATGTCGCTAAATCCAGTTGCTTATTCTATACGGTGGAGTATTTCCGCGTGGCGGTTTATTTGCAATTATACTCGCGATTTCTATCAGGTAAAGAGATGATCAATAAGTCACGCTCACACAGAAAGAATTCACGACGAATGTTATTTCTCGGGAGTACGTCCAAAACGTACTCCCTGCATCCGCTACAATCGAGATAACGCCATCAGGCCTCTGTCGTTAAGTACGAGTGTTGTAGAGTTTAACTGGAGAACTTCTATCTTGTCTGAAATCCACATAGGAAACACGTAAACGTTCGTTAGATTTATCTGGCTAGAAAATCTCTTCTCTTCTCCATCCATGGCTTCACTGTAACTCCAAGATGTGCATCTTGTCTATATAGTCGAGCAAACCCTGCAGCCTCTTCTTAACGCGCTTTTGGTCGTCCAATGTGCAACCCAGAATGGCAGTCTCAAATATTTTATCGGAATGTCCTATACCATGGGAGGAGCATGCATTCATGAATTCCGCACACCTTTGCCGAGTACCACTGGGATCCTGACGCAAACCCACGACCAGACTATCAATCAGGCCATTAACCTGGAACAAAAACAACATATTATTAAGTATTTGTTATATCACTTGAAATCTATCACTTGTATAAGAAGATTGCAGAATCTTGAATACCTGATGTAGTGCTTCTTGCTGAATATGATCACGTTGGACTTTTACCAAAACATCCACAGTCAAACATCGCATAGACAACCTCTCCGCATACCTTAAGACATCATCCCTGTCAGCTGTGCAGGAGAATATATATAACAATTATTATTGATCTTATTATAACGTAGAAAAGAACATCAATTAAAAAAATAATGATTAAGAAAATATATACTTTTGTATGAACGCTACTGACTTTGCGCATTATTTCCCATTATATTATTATAGTTTCTCATGCAAGTTATCTTCCTAGAAAAAGTGCTTTAGTTATTCTATATTAAATCTGCTATTTTTAATTGTGTTATATACAACACTTTCTCTATTTAAAATAAAATAAATATGTGATTTAGTATAAATTTTTTTTATAATATTTATAAATTTGTGATTTAGTAAAGAGAAAGAAAAAGACAAAAATTACAAGGAATTATAAAAAAATTACTGCAAAGAAAAACTTATTTCCATAGTTTTATATTATTTCTCTTTCCCTCTTATTCTATTATTGTCACTCAAAATTCCAGAGCTATTACTTTCCATTCGTGGAAGGTTATATATTCTACAGCAAGATTCTAGAGCCTTCCACGCGTTCCGATCGATCGTAATTAGGAAGATTAATTAAATTACTCACGCTCCTCAAGAGTGCCCAGGATGTCATTATTCCGGAGAGTGTCCAAGGTCGTGAGTAGACTATCCTTCTCTTCCTCGAGTCTAGAAGCATCTTTCCGTAATTGTTCTACGTGCACCTCGATCTGGTCTAATAGGCCGACTAACCTATCCTTCGATTTCAATTCGTTACTACTCTGCTGTTGTGCACTTTCCATATTCCTTCTCGTTTCTCATCAACTTTCCGGCAAAACAGTTTGAAATTGAATTTTCTCACCGCTCTCTTTTGTTAATGACGATGAAAACGCAATTCAATCGTGCGAACGCGGGCCACCAAATGCCATCCGCCCTGTAGCAAGATATGATATGTTGAAATCTCGTGAGTCTCGCGTTATGCGCGCTATGCACTCAAAGCGATTCGATTTAATTCGATTTAACTCGACTCAAGCAAAAAAAGTACATAACAAAAATGCGCAACCATTTTGCTTATTTCTACGGACCTCCACGTAATAAATTTGCACGAAATACATAAGTTGATTTATATTTGAGTATTTTCAAGATAAATTTCTTACAGTGTGATCCTACAATTTATTTAACAGATTATTTAATAAATTTTCAAGAGTCAATTCAAGACGATCTTTTCGTGTTTAAATAATATAAGTGATTAGAGGTCTGTTCTTTGTAGCTGCACTGATGATGCAATATATTGAAGTGAGACAAATATACGTTTTCTCACTCTAACTTTTTGCACTAGTTCAGCAGTGCAGCTACATAGAACAGGCCTTAGGTCAGAAGAGCTTTTAATTTGAAAAAATCTGAGGTTAAAAATTCAGCGATCGTTATTTTTCACTTAATTCGATATATCTTAGTAAAAAATAAAAGTAACTTTACGATTTTAATATTTATAAAAATGTGCTTTCTGAACTTTACGTAAATTTCATCTACACTATTTATGAATATTCAGGTTTTCACATACGACCATACGAGGAAAAATGTGTCTGTAAAACCTCTCAAGTAAAAGATAAAATTAAAAATTGGAAAGCATCAATGTATCAATGGCCTCAAATCTAGTATTGGAAAGCTAGTATTGGAAATCTAGTATGTGAAAGCCTCAAATCTAGTATTGGAAAGCATCCATTGTACGTTGTAAATACTCTACTGAAGTATGTACTATCTGGAACGCGCGCTGCCTCTTGAGGTGTGCGGAATGAGAGAGAGGTTCCTTGTTTCCTCTCTTATCCTTATCTGGTTCATAGTATAATCGAAAGTGGGGAGAATGTGATACAATCCAAGTTAAAAGTTAGAGATAATATGAAAAGCAGTGACCACTGAATGGCAATTAGCCCGTTCAGCAGACACGATTTTCATCACTAAGCGCTACGTATCATTCGCTCAACCGCTTTGCAACTGTTGGGATCTGCTCAACGCGCCCAATGACTTAAGCTTATGAACGAAAGTTTAAGATATAAAAAATATATATATTTTTTCTCATTTATTAGTATTCACTTATTCATTTATTAGTATTCACTTATCGACTTATTATTAAGAAAAACAAAGCAAAAATGATTCCTAATTCGGAGATTCAGCTTGTGTTTAGAAATCAGCCAACTTAGCTTTTGGTTCAGATTGTACTAAAGAAAAACAGAGCGCTGTTCTAGACCTACAATCATGCTCTCTCTCATCCCGCGATACTCAAGAGGTAGCGCGCGTTCCAAGTAGTGGTAATTATTTAGTTTAGCGGCAACACCTCCGATTTCGATGAAAATAGGCTCAATCGACGCGTTTTTGCATGCCAAACAACTTTTTCCTCTGACAAAATCGTCGTTCTCTACTACGAAGTGAGATATTAATAGACAAAGTTGAGGGCGCGTTAGGTCAGAAAATCTGTCATACCATCTCTAGCTATGCGACTGGGGGGCTTCGCCCCCCAGAGCCCCCGTATCACGGGGAGTGGGGGCTATAGTCTCTTGTGCTTAAACTAGAGTGAATTTCTCACAAAAGACTGTAGCTCCCACTCCACCGTGATACGGGGAGTCTGGGGGGCAAAGCCCTTCAGTTACATAGTTAGAGATAGACGGTATAGCTGGATAATTACCAATTTTTTAATCAACGATTGTAACAAATTAATAGACTTTTTAATACAACACGGTGTTTTAGCATCTACAATATATTATGTTCATGTGACAGATTTTTTAACCCTATCAATGCATCATTTTAATATCTCGCTTCGCAATAGAGAGCGACGATTTTGTCAGAGGAAAAAGTTGTTTGGCATGCAAAAATGCGTTGATTGAGCCTATTTTCATCGAAATCGGAGATGTTGCCGCTAAACTAAATAATTACCCAAGTAGTATATATTTCAGTGAAGTATTCACACGTTGAATGTGTGAAGTGACACACTCAACGTCACATAGGACCGCCGCCATTTTCTCGCATGCAACCGGAAACCTTATGGCTCCTGCACAT